GGTGCTGAAGGCGGAGCCGGCCGCCGTGTTTAAGTTCCCGCTGGCTCCCCTGGGCTGCTCGGGGCTGGGCTCGGCGCTGCTGGCCGCCGGCTCGGGGCTGCAGGGCGGCTCGGCCTCGCCGCATCTCCCGCTGGAGCTGCACCTCCGCGGGAAGCTGGAGCCGGGCCCCCCGGAGCCGGGCAAGGCCAAGAAGGGCCGCCGCAGCCGCACCGTCTTCACCGAGCTGCAGCTCATGGGGCTGGAGAAGCGCTTCGAGAAGCAGAAATACCTCTCCACGCCCGACAGGTAGGCCACGGCCGACCTCGGGCTCGGGGCGCGGCGGGGCTCGTTTTGATTGAAAAAGTCGGGAAGCTGCTGCCATCGAGAGCAAAGCTGCCGGCCTGACCTCCTCTCTCTCTCTCTCGCCCGCAGAATAGACCTGGCCGAATCGCTGGGACTCAGCCAGCTCCAGGTGAAAACCTGGTACCAGAACAGGCGCATGAAATGGAAGAAAATAGTAAGTGGCCCTTATTAATTAATAGTCCTCCCCTTGGGCTCGTCGTGTCCGCGTTCGGCGGGGATCGAGCCCTGCCCCGCGGGCCTCGTCCCTCCGCACACCGGCCCCGGGATATTTAATAACAGCATTAAGGATAATTGTAACAGCAGTGGGGACCGTGACGGTAAGAATAAGAATAAGAATAAGAATAAGAATAAGAATAAGAATAAGAATAAGAATAAGAATAAGAATAAGAATAAGAATAAGAATAAGAATAAGAATAAGAATAAGACGTCCCTGGTCTTTAATACCGTGCCCCTAGTCCAGCATCTTCTGGGCCCCTGCCGCCGCCCCTCCCGGTCCTGTCCGAGCCCTCCGGTGTTTGTTCTCGGCCCCGGGGCGGTGGGCGGGGGCCGCAGTCCGAGAGGACCCGCACCGGCGGCTTCGCTCCGGGGCACGGGAGAGAGAGGGGTTGCTGCGGCCCGGGCTGATGGCAGCTCGGTTTTACCGGGGTGTCCCCTTCCTCCGCCCCCTCCCCGCCTCGCAGGTGCTGCAGGGGGGCGGCCTGGAGTCCCCCACCAAGCCCAAGGGCCGCCCGAAGAAGAACTCGATCCCCAGCAGCGAGCAGCTCTCGGAGCAGGAGCGCGCCCGGGATGCCGAGAAGCCGCCCGAGAGCCTGGGCTCGCCGGCCGAGGTCAGCCAGGAGGAGTGAGGGGGGCTCGGCCCCCACGGCCCCGCCGGGCCCCCCGAGGGCACGGAGGGCAGCTCGGACAGCGGCTGCGGCCGCCTTCGGCCTCGGGACTTTTGGACGCTTTGACCGCACGCCGGTCTCACCTCCGCTCCCCTCCGGCCAGGAGCACACTGGATCCCACCTTCCACATCTACTCGCTGTCTAAAACCCTGTGGTGCCCCTAGTTATTCGAAAACTGCATTTTATGATCAGTTTTATTAATGCGAAGATATTTACTTTATTTCAATAAAGTATTTTATGAATTATTGCTCTGGGTAACGTAATGCTTTGGGGTTGATTTTTTTTTAAGATTTGCTATTTTTTTTTTTTCTCCCACGGAGGCAGGTTAGAGACTGAAAACCAATTTCAAGGCAGGTCTACAGAGAAAGTGCAAAGCACAGGGGTACCGGGAAGATTCTCCCATCGTTTTCCACGACGGTTCGGCTGCCCGTGGCCGGGAGAGGCCAAACCCTCGGTCTTTCCTCGGTCAAATTCGGACGCTTTCGGATTTTAAAGATACGTTAGTTGCTGACAAAAGATTAATTAACTTCTGCACTGTGCATCCTGAACGGTGCTTTTAAAAAAATGCTCTTCACGAGCTCCTGCGATGCAGCACGAAATCCTGGCGCTTTGTTGTTCGGGTGAGGATTTTTTATTTTATTTTATTTTTTCGCTTGTTTTCCCCGAGTGTCTTCTCCACGTTTTCCTTTGGGATGTTAAATTACAGAGCAACCACCGAGACGTGCAATTACCGCCATTTTCCTAAAAAAAAAAACCCAAAAAATACCAAACCAAAAACAAAACAACCGGAAAAAAAAAAAAAAAAGAAAAAACCAACCAAAAAAACCAGCAAAGCAGGGAAGGACGAGAGGCGGAGAGCGAGCGGCGGGGCAGCCTCCCAATGAAGGGCGGTAATTAGCGGCTCGGGGGTGCCTCCGTGGCCCGGCAGGGTGCCCTTAGGGCCGGCAGGACGGGAGCCCTGTCCCGGGGCAGCGGCTCCGGGAGGCTCCAGCCCGTGCTCAGGGCCCCGGGGAGCGGAGCACGGAGGCAGCACCGAGGAGCTTTAACCCCAAACAGCCCCGAAGCTGTGAGGTGAATCTGCGCTGAACTGATGCCGGTCCTTCCCAGCCTTGCTGGTTTCTCTCTCCACGGCCCGGCCCGGGAGGTGCCCCGCATCCATCCCGGGTTAAATCAACCCCCGGGATGAGCGGGGCAGGACACGGCTGGGTAAACAGGAAACAAACTTACACTGAAATCACTTAGATATTTAACCAAACCATTGGTTGGAAATGTTTCATTTAACCTGAGGATGAAGATGGATGCCGGGAAGAGGGAAGGGGGCGGCGGGGCTGGCAGAGCCGGGGCTTTGCGGGACAAGCTGGGCGTGTGGCTTTGTCACTTCCCTGTCACCCCTGGCTGTTTCTGGTGCTCTCAGAACAGCGCCCGGTTTCAATTAAAAGGGAGATTCGCTGGCTCATTAACCTAAATGAACAGGACACCAGGCTGTGTTAGTCACTTGTGTCACACGGAGGGCTGGGACAGCCGGGCTTCACTCGGTGCTAGCGCCTTCGCGGGAGAATGCTAATATTTTCTTTTCACAGTGACAGAAAAGTGATTATCTTTTCTCAGATCATAAGGTGATAATTTTTTTTTTTTTCAGCGCACGAAGCAGTAAATAAATTTAGGGGGTTTTTTTGTTTCGAATTTTTCCTTCGTAGACAGCCGGGAGAGGGCTTGGGGATGCTCTGGTTAAGCTGCGTTTCTGCCGAGCCGGAGCGGAGCGGGGTCCCCGTGTGTCCCCTGTGTGCCGGGGCTGCGCATCCCTTCCCTCCGCACGGGACACACGGCTGCATCCTTCTCCTGCTGTGCCGCGGCACCGACATCTCCCGGGGGGCTCGGGGGAACCTCCCCTCGCCCCGGGAGGTGCCCGAGAGCCCCGTCCCGCACGGGGGGACACAGCGGCGGCCCCGTCCGGAGCGGGATGTGTGCTGCGGACGGACACACGGCCACACGGCCACACGGACACACGGACACACGGACACACGGACACACGGACACACGGCCACACGGACACCCGGACACACGGACACACGGACACACGGACACACGGACACACGGCCCCTCCGCCTGACCGGCTCCCCCCGGAGCCGCCTGCTCTCCAGCGCTTTGGGCACGGCTTTAATGAGCGATTCCTGCTCCGGGAGGAGCCGGGTACAGCCCCGAGAGGGTGTGAGCCGGGCTCAGGAGCCCTCCAGCCTCCTCGGCCATGCTCAGGAAACCCAGGGTTCCCTCAGGCACGGAAGGAGCCTGTTAGAATTACCGGACAATAGACCCGACTAATGGGATTTTTTTTATTGGTTGGTTTGGTTTATGTTTTCCTGTAATATGTATATTTACATACACTCACACACTTCTATTTAGATAATTTTTAACGATTTTAAGCACTGCTTTCTGTCAAAATTTAATTTCCCACAGCTTCTCCAGGTGGGCTGCCTGCTGGGCTGGCTGGAGTGACAGCAGCTGGGTCCCAGCGAGGCGCACTCAAAGGGGTGGGATGAGATGATCTCTAGTGTCCCTTCCAGCCCAAACCACTCTGAGATTCTCTGATTCTGTCTGAAAAGCGAGGGTAAATGGCACCAGCCGTCAGTGACAGCCCTTCCAAAGGTGTTTGGTGGTACCCCAAGCAGGGCTGGGGCTCCCCTTGGCCAGCCGATGAGTGACCACAAGGAAATCACAGCAGGCCTTATCTGCACACATGTTTAGTGCCTATGGATAATTTTAGACAGTGCAGAATAATGGTTTCACTTTCTAATGGCCTCTTAGAGCCGTGCTGAGCCCGTGTGGTGCTGCTGGGCTGCAGTGGGTGGTACCCACACCCACCACATCTGAGCAGCAGAGCTGGGCCAGCCCAGGCACCCGGAGATGTCCAGCAGGAGTCCTGGGGAAGATCTGGATGACTTTGTTCAGTGCTGCAACTCCTCCTCAGAGAGCCCTGTTCTGCCTGTGGGAATGACCTCACTCTGCAGCACCCCAAAGCTGCTGGAAAAGCTGCTGCCCCACCCCGAGGGTGGGTTGGCAGTGCTGTGTAATCCTGGGGCCAGTAAAGGACATTTGTAGCCAATACACCTGATGGTTATTCTCTGTCTGTGTGTAAATAAGCTGCATTACCACGTGCATTCATTCTGGCAGCGATGCATCCACGCTGGGGAACTCCACGTTTTAATTACACCTGTATTGGTGAAACATCATGTGTTTTCTTTGCAAACAAAGTAGAAGGGTGTTGATTGAAAGCTGGAAAAATGTGTCCTTCGATTGCTGCTCAGGTCACAGGTAATCAGCAAATGCTCTGATGGTTTTCTTAGCAAAAATACATTTGAGTTTCCAGTTCAAACATCCCAGATCCCCTTTTTTATGATGCATCTCAAAGAAACTTGAGCAAAGTTCTGCTTTTTCATCAATGCCAATTTAAATACAGCTTCACAGGGTATTTGAAGATGAATGCCATGGGTGTTTATTCAGAGGCAGTGCTTGCTCTGCCAGCAGCAGAGCAGACACCAGGACGGGGCTGTGAAGGGGGCAGTGGCCTTGCCCTGACTCTCTGCTCCACACCTGCAGGCAAAGGGAGGTCTGCTCTGCCCTTCTGGAAGAAAAAAATTGATCCTAGAGCAATGCTTTGTGGGCACTTCCCACAAATAAAAAACCCAAAAGCACTGACTTGATGCTGCCTTTTCCCCTCCAGAGGGTGGGAAGTGCGGAGGGGGTGGAGTGGGGATGTGGAAGGGGGAGGTCAGTGGGATGGGGAGGGTTTGATGAGAAATGGAGGGGGATGTGGGAGGAGGTACAGTGGGGGGATGTGGGGATGATGGAGGAGCAGGGATGCAGG